TCAGAGGCGACTGCAAGAATCCTGAAACCATTCGGGATCGGTGTGGCTCATAAGCCAGAGTCAACCATCAACCAGCAGATCATGAGGCCCAAAGACCCGCTACCTTTGACAGAACAATCAGCAGTGGTCTACAGCATACCATGCAAAAACAGCGATGTAGACGAGCAGACGCCTTGGCACAAGGTTGCATGAGCACCAGCTCGCAATCAACCGCAACGATAAGCTGTCTATGGTATATGACTACTTACAGTAGAAGAATCACACGCTCGCCTTTGAAAAAGCAAGGGTAATGGACCGAGCCAATTATAAAGTGGCCGGATTGCTGCTAGAAAGTTTTTCCTCGATTGGCACAATAAACAGAGCCATGGACCTTCATCCCGCCTACCAAGCGCTCCGCACAAAGCTAACATCTGTTCAGAACGGAGAAATAGGTCAGGCGAAGGAAGATACGCAGGGCCAACAGCCGGCAGCCACGAACGAAAAAGGTGGAAACGTTCAGGAGGCACAAAAAAGACTTGACACACCACATGGAGGCGCCCGCGAGGACGCGAACAGTTCAAACAGACACCAGCAATCGATCGGTACCATCGATCGACACACGGGCATCAGGCACGGCTAGCGATTAGACCGACTCACTCGACAGCAGCAGGAGAATAGACAATACGCTCTGACAATGGAAGCGAGAATGCTTTTGAAACGTCAGCATAAATACAACTTGGTCTCAGAAATTGCTCCGTCTTCTTCCTTTTCTGGGGATGATGAAAGCAATAATGCACTCCACCCAGTTGCGAAAAAACCCACGGCCTAGACGACATTCAACCCACGGGAGTAAGCGTAAGGCTTCGTATACGGTCAGTGTCCTAACTATATGAGCTATCAGGATCCAATCTAGGGGCGAGATTTTGGGTCAGGTCACCCAGCCATATATGACCAAACTTGCAGCTCCGGCCGGTGGTCAGCGCGCTGACTGTATACAAATCCTGGCACTTGTTGTCAGGGGTGCGAGCCCCGTCGAGTTTTTGTTCAATTAGGACAAAGCTAAAAGAAATGTATCGTGCAGGCCCGTGGTCTGTGAAGAAGATGCGAACAGTATGCCAAGCAAAGACAGGGCCCTTTCTGACACGGGCACGGCTTTAGGTTGTTGTAATTGTTGATGAAGACGATGTTGATTATGACGACGACGATGATGATGATAGTTCGACCAGACGACATAAGGTTGCCGTAAATATGTTTTCCTTAGAATACAGTACCTGAAACGGTCCCATCTTCACCAGTTTTCTCTACGACACCTAACATGGCGGCTTACATCC